GTAAAATTCATCAGTTGTCCTAGGTATTTTCACACAATAAATGCACTGACACATTATGGCACATGATGGAGAGAATAAGGTTCTATACCCTCCCTCAATATCCTTACACCCATCAGGGCTTTCCTGAAGCCACCACCTTGGATACCATACTCAATGGTGTCAACATATTACAAGAGGGTACTGAGCTAAATAATGGGTGATATTAGGAACATAGGTTATTGCCTCCCAAAAAACCTCTTCCTGTTACCCACTGGATGTGGTATTAACACTGAGTAGCAGAAACAGGGAGAGGCAGGAAACACTGGGCTGTAGGCAATACATTGGTTGCCTAAATTCGTTGTTCTAGCTCACCTAAATTCTACCATAGCTAAGCATTCAAATAAAGAAGATGCTCCTGGTAACTGAGCCATCCTTCAGTGTATGGTAAGCTTTTAGTCATGCCAGGCCCTGGCCACCTTAAAGTTTATTACAAGCCCCCAGTGAGAGTTGGCCAAAAAACGGGGTCAGGAATTAAATTCAAAAAAGAATGAAGAGGTGAGAATACCAACAGGATTCATCAGAAGCATCCTGGGGTCCCCAGCCCTTTTCAGGTTAAGTTCTTGAGCTGAAATCCATGTTATGAATTCTTCTGTCTTTACCTTTTGACTCCCAGTAAATTTTTCACGCAACTATAACTGCATATCATCCTGTGCCTGGAAGAAAGAGGACTCCATAGATTTCCATTCCATTGATCTTAAATTGTTTGCCCTAAAAAGGAGAAGGGCATATAATATTACGTTTGGACTCACTTACTTCATGTGAAATGCTTTCATGGAAAGAGTGGTGGATGTAGAAATAAAAGACCTGAGCAGAAATCTGTTCTGTGCCACCCCCTACTTCCCATATTGACATGATCATAGCACCTAGCATTTCTGGAACTCAGTTTCTTCCTCTGTAAAATGAGGGACTTAGACTGAAAGATCTCTAATGTTCATTTTAAGTATAAATCCAATTAAAAACCTGCATATACATTGTATTTCAGTGAAGCCAAATGTTTATGATTCTTAAAAAAAAAATATAAAGGAAGAAACATACGTTAGAAAAAGCAAAGTTTTAGTTGCTCAAGGTCATACTAGATCAAAGGTCTGTGGCCTCTTTGGAATAAACCCAGGAAGAAACAGAAACATGTCCTTGACCAATATGGGGGAAGAGGAAGGGGTGGTGGGAGGGGACTCTAGCCATGTGTTTGTTCTTTATTGAACATTAAAGTCCCATGAAAAAGTGTGGCAAGAGGAAAGAAAATATCCTTGCTCTCAGGAAGTAAAACTCCATTTCTTTTTCCAGCAAGTTGCAAAATTTCCTCTGAACTGCTTATTTTACTTTTGTGCAAACAAAAACAGGCCATATGCAAAACGGTTTCCTCTGCTTGTGTAGAATTCCTTAATACTTCTTTTGAGAAAGCAAAGACTGGAACATATTTTCAAGTTAGGGGAGAAATCTGTTTTCAATTCATTAATGCCGCCATGTTTACCCTGGGCAAGAGTAGCCACTTTTTATGACCAAATTTAAAAAAAAAAAAAAGACTAACTTAGAAACTGAGAAAACAAGTTCTATTCTCAAGTGCAAAATGGGGGTGTCGGGGGACCTAATGATAATTCTGCCAAGGGATACAGGAAAAAAATAACATTTCAAATAAAGTTTGCTATGTGTCCTGGAAGCCAAGACCTGAAGGCGGCCAACTCCAGACAGTTTGGCAAAAGTAATCTCATCATCAACACTGAAAGTCACAGAGTCCCCAGAGCCTGGGTTCCAATCCCAGTTCTGTCACTTCCTACCTTTGTCACTCTGGGCAAAACACTTCATTTCTCTCTGCCCCAGCTTCTTCCCCAGGCAAATGAGTAACTAGACTTCTTCCAAGTTTCCTTCCAGGTAGAAATCTTTTTTCTTATGGTTTTAAATATGTATTAATAATAGCTTATAATAATAGGTAGCATTTGTATAACACTTTCAGGCATATGTGTATATGCATACATATGTACATGTGTGCATATACATGTATGTGCATACATGTATTTATGATAACTTATAATAGGTAGCATTTGTATAGCACTTTCAGGCATATGCATATATACATATATGCAGCTATGTGTATATAAACATATGTGTGTATTTATGCATATATGCCAGAAAGTGTTATACAAATGCTACCTACTTTTAAAAGCTATTATTGTTACCATTTTGTTGTTATACTATATTTCAAGAATAATATATTGCCATAATATATATTTATATGTATGTGTATATAAATATATGCATAGATATCATATGTATGCATATGTATATATTCTCTTCACAACAACCCTGGGAAATTAGTGCTTTTATTGTTCCCATATTACAAATGATGAAATTCAGATGGACACAGATTAAATGACTTATCCAAAGGCATGAAGGCAGGAAGTTAACACACATGAATTAAGCATTAAGTGCTTTACAATTATTATCTCATTTGATCTCAACAACCCTAGCAGGGAAGTACTATCATTATCCCCATTTCACAATTGAAACGAGGCAGACAAAGGTTAAATGACTTGCCCAGAGTCACATAGCTAGTAAGAGTATTTGAATTCAGGTATTCCTAACTCCCAACACTCAGTACACTGGGCCACCAGTTGCTGTCTAAAGTTAAGTGACTTGTCTAGGGTCACATATTTAATATGTGCCTAAGGATCTGAATTCAGTTCTTCCCAACTTCAGGCCATGTTCTACCCACCACACCAATTAGCTAGTAGTAAGCGCCTGAGGCCATGAACTCATCAGGTCTTCCTGACTCCAAATGTCAGGGTGCTGTCCACTCTATCACCTCTTAAGGAAAGGGAAAGCCCAACTGATATTCAAATCTTACCATCTTTAAACAGGTATTGCTACTGATAATATTAGGGATAATGCATTAGTCACAGAAAGACACACTTTACTAATTCTTAGTATACATTAAAGAATTATTTTTAAAAGAAAAGAACTGGTTCCCCTAGCGCTAGCACTGAGAGGAAAAATGTCACCCCCTCAACTACACATATACATGTATTTGCCCAAATATACACGTATATTAATATGTATCACACATGTATTATGCGTATTTTCAGTCATGGGTTTATAGTGGGTCCCGTTTAAATAGTACTAAGGCAAACCTGACCTGCTCTCCCAGGACAATGGTTCCATTTCTCCCAAGAGCAGAGCAGAGACTTCATTGCCAATCTTTTTCCTGGTAGGTGCTGCTGCTGCTGCAGTCTCCTAGTCACTGATGCATTAAGGGCTTTTTTTTTTTTCTCTCATGTATCTAACAGCCAACACTCCCCTCTTCTGAAATGCATAGACCTGCTGGAATGTATGCAGCCTGCTAGCATGCTTCTATATGTTTGTGGATGGTTTTCTGGTTATTTATGGGAGATTGGCGAACAGTCCATATGCCAGAAGCTGGCACTGAGTGAATCAAAACCAACCAAAACTGGCAAAAGGCAAGTGCCGTTCACTGAGACGGGCAGCGTTAGGGGCGCACGGCTGCCTCTACTATAAATATTGAGTAATTGCCCCGGCACCTGCAGCCTTATGTGACAATTATACTCGTCAGGAGGAGTCAGAGGGGAGTTCTTACTGCCATCTCATTAAAAGGAAAAAGAAAAAATACATACCAATATTCACAGCTTAACAGTGAAGCTTTACAGAACGCTTTACAGGGATGGGGCGGTGAGGGGGGAGAGTCACGGGAAGGCTTTCCTTTAAAAGAAAAAAAGATATTTCTTCTATTTGGGGAGAGTTTCCATATTTTTCTTCCTCTTAAAAAATTTAACAAGCCTATGAACCACAAAGAAAAAATAGCTTTAAAAAGTTGTTGGAGGCAAGTGATTTGAGGGTACAAGGGAGTTCGGAGGGGAGCATAAGCCTCACTGGGGCAAACTTTTCTGTCTCATGATCAGGTTACTGTTTGCTGAGTCCTACAACCGCTGGTTATGAACATTTTATTGAATAAAACTCCTTATGAAAATTAAACTTTAAACAGATGATCTCCATCTGGCGGGGCGTGGGGTGTGGGGGTGGAAGGAGTTTGGGATGTTTTCTCCGTGTCGTGTTGGACCACCTCTTTCAACCAGCGATGATCTTCAGATGATGCATTTCAGTTAATTAGTTACCCTGCCTTAACTCCTATTCACTCACTCACTTCTCAGTTACATAAGACCAGCACGATTTTATGGATTTAATTTTTTTCTTACCTGAAAAATGAAAAGTTATTTTAGCAACAGGACTGCCAAATTTTCTAGCATATTCCTCAATGAAAAATAAAATATAGTCAGCGGGAAACTCTTGCAGCTGTTTGGCTGGAATTCCCAATTACCAGAAATGCCCTTGGAGATTCTTTTTGGATTTTTACAGGCCCACATAATGAATTCTTAAGCCAATTTTCTTAAAGTGAACTTTTCTTTAAATGTATTAGTATGTGTCTTACCTAAGTACCTCTGTGGTGAGTATCTGTGCTAAAGGAAGGGCATGAGAAGTAGAGCTAATAAAATAAAATACCTTACACCTATGGAGTGAGTGCTTCACGATGTACCAACTGCTTCCCCAAGAACAACCCCAAGAGGCAGTAAAAGTGTTAGTATTCTTATTGTACACTTAAAAAAAAAACAAATGAGGTGACTTTGTGTGTGTATGGTGTGCGTGTGTGTGTGTGTGTGTGTGTGTGTGTGTGTGTGTGTTGGGGGAAGAATGAACATGTAGAAAAAGGGTCAGTAGTGAATACATACATTAAATAACTAGAGTTTTTGGTTACATTTCTAAAAATTGAAAGAAAAATGCACTTGTGCCTGAAATGTGGGTCACTCATTCAGAGTTGGATGTACTATTTGTCAGTTACACTTTTTGGCCAATTTCTATTTAACATCAGCCATTATGCCTTTCTTAGAACTATACTTCTTCCCATGTTTCTTACAATCTTTTTTTTTCTCCCCCCCCCCTTATTTTTTGGACAGATGAATGTGCCTCACTTATCCTCACCTGTCTGTTTTGCCAGTTTTTGGATTGTCTTCTAATGCTGCCTGATACTTGTGAAACTGTGTGCATAAATACGTGCTGCCCATCACATCGATACTATCATGCCTCTGATGAGAATCACCCCAGAAATGACTGCAATTGCAATTGTGATGTTGACTGCAGCCTGTTTGAATCTTGCCATGAGACAAGCGAATGCTTGGAGCTGGCCATGGAGATTTCAGAAATCTGTTACCGCTAACATGAGAAAGCACCAGATCCCTTTAAAAAAGAAAAAAAAAACTCTTTGATTTCCTAGAAATTTCCCATATGACCAGGATGTGAGGTTTATTTGTTATAAGCATCTTGGACTCTATATATCACATTATCTTGCATCCATTTGGGAAGAATTGCATTTTGCACGAAAGGTCCTTGTTCACAATTTCACAACTGCATGACACTGGCAAATAGAATCTTTAATCGTAGATGAAACGCAAATCCAAAACAACCACCACAAAATGTTTTCACTGCATTCCTGCTTCCCAGCTGGCATGCTAATCCCCTCTTTCTGTCGCTACATTCACCAGCTTGCACTCTGGATTCAGCCCTATTCCCAAATACAGGGCGAACTGGAGTACTCTTTTAGGACTGACATCCATACATTAGCTCCTCTTCTTAACAGACTCATACATAAACATCATGCTTTGTTGGTTACTATTAATAATGGATGATAGAACATCATTTTATAATTAAAGATTTATTTATACAATCCCTTAAAACTCACTTATATGTTCAGTTTAGGGAGAAAAGGGAATTACATGATTAGGAGCCATGTTGCTGTAATTACAGCCGATGTCTCTGAAACATCTCTGGTGGATTTGGAGTCTGATGTGCTCCGGCGGAGAGCTGTAATTCTAGACCATATTAATCTGTGTCTATGATTATGCCATAACAGGTTATGTCTATTTTTAATTTGTTACAGGAAGGTTCTCCTTAGCTCTAATGAGCATTAATGGCAATGTTTCAGGAGGAGAGTGACCTCGGTTAATCAATTGCTTCTTTTCCTGATTTCTGTTCGTAAGGTAAACAGGAGATTGCAAAAGAAACTACAGTTTTCCTAACTTGAATTTTTACAAGCACTACAAACACGTAAAAATACAGCTATCCGTTCAACACGGAGCTCTTAATGCTGCATGTCATTCAGATACTATGGATGTTTGTTTGTTTTTTTCCCTTCTGATAAAGTTTGTAGTTATTAGCATTAATTAATGCTAATTAACTTGTATAATAACAAAGGACACAATATGAAATGGAAAATGATTTCTTAGCTCAAAGCAGGGAAATAAAATCACACAATTTCCTTTGAACATCTTTCTTCGTTATAGCTATTCTGGAATGTACCTTAGTTTCAGGAGACTCCATTCTGTTGTCTTTAGGCAAACAATGCTCATAAACTTGTTCTTGTGATTTTTCCACCTGCCTTGCCATTACTGCCCCTCTTCTCATCAGGAACCTCCTCCAGGCTCCAGTCTCCAGAGAGTCTACCCACACCCCTCATTCTCCATGTCCTTCCTCTCTCTCGGTGGAATTTTGGCGCTGTGCCTTGGCCTTGGGCTGTTCTGATTAGTGGGTTAGTCGATGAAAATTCACTTTCACCCACCGAATCTAGTTAGTCCTAGATCATGCCAAACCACCCAGCCATCCACTAGGATGCCAGGGCCTATACAGCATGGGCACCTTGACATCTGCCCTGTCGACCCTTTCCATCCATTCCCCTCCCCAACCCTTCCACTTGTTGATCTGGCTCTGAGAATAACAATAAAATATCCATTGCTACTGGACAGGGTGCAGCAATCTATGGCTCCATTCATAGTCCCTGTGGTTTGCCTACACCAAAACTCCTCTCCCTAGGAAACCATTCTTTTACACATCCATCTCCCTTATTAGAATGTAAGCTTCTAGAGAGCAGGGATTGTCTTTTTTTTTCATATTTGCATCCCTATCATTTAGCACAGTGTCTGACTTATAGAAGGCACCTAATAAAAGATTATTGACCAACTTCAAGAGAAGACAACTAATTAATGAACTGTATTTCCCAACTGTCAGCATTTTTACACAAACATCTTGAAACTATTAGTTATTGGTCCCATATTGCATGTTTTCAAAAAGATTTTGAAAAGCCTATTAACAAAAAAACTAATATTAGCATTAAAAAGCTAAAGAACAGTTCAGTTACATCAGATCATCTTTACCCAGTTGGAGTCAATTTCCCAAATAGTTGAACAGAGTTTTTCTTACTCATTTCAGCTTCAGTTCATAGGATATTAGATTCAAAAACTAGAAAGGACCTCAAAGATCTAATTCCCTCATTTTAAAGATGAGGAAACAGTTCTAGAAAAGGGAAGTGACTTGCCCAAGGTAACACAGGTTATGAGTGGCAGAGCTCAGATCAGATCCTACTTCCTCCTTCTCTAACTATATTCAGCTCTCTTTCCCTGAACAAGTGAGGTAGCTATCCTCTACTACTTCCCAACTCAGTCAGTACCAGGCAGGGTTCAAGACAGACCTACCATGATATTTTGACTCAAGGCTACTGTTTCCACTTAGGGACATTTAGACTCTATCCCAATTTATACACAGAATATGTGAAGGATGGGGATGATCATAGAATCATTGATTTTGACCTTGAAAGAGTGATTTAATCTAATGCCTTCATTTGACAGGTGTGAAAAGTGAGGCCAGGAAAGCTCCAAAGATTAATGTGCAATGAGTCTGGAAAGTATGGTAGTATTCCTTATACTTTGGTATACCTGGCCCCACCACCATCACCAAAGATAATGACTTAAATAAAATACAGGGAGATTAAAGAACTGAAAAATGTTTGATTTTCCCCCTTTTCTGAATTGCAGCTAGATTCTTGTGGAAGCAACAAGATGTCCCTCACTTTCCATACTAAGTTCACCCTTTGCACATTTTTAGAATTAACTGTGCTGCATGGTAACAAGCCAGTTTTGTATGATATGAAAACATTCCCTTCTTTATAACTCATAATAACACAGCATCCATTTTGTGAACAGGAATGGCTCTTTCATTTTAATAATAAGATCACAATAGTAGAAAGGAACCCCAGAACTCATCTAGTGCAAACATTTCAATACTTCAATAATCAGTGGTCAATAAATATTTATTAAACATCTACTACGTGTCAAGAACTGTGCTAAGCACTGGAGATGCAAATACAAAAATGAAAGCAGCCCCGCCTTTAAGGAGCTTAAAATCTAATGGGGAAAGACAATAAACAAAATGTGCAGGGAGAACAGAATATGAGAGTATGGGGGGCAAGTCAAAAAAAATCCATAATGAGTGCAGCCAGAGTATCCAAAGAAGTCCAAAATTACTTTATAGATAAGGAAGCTGAGGCTCAGAGAGGCTAAGTGACTTGTCCAAGGTCATACATGCAGTAATCATCAGAGCAGAATTTGAACCCAAGTCCTCTGACTCTAAAGTCAATGTAGTTATTGTTGTTCTTTTTTTCCCTCTATATCATATGACTCTTTCTGCTGTACCAAGAGAAATTCCTAGTAAACCCCAGGCGGGTAGGAAAATGCAACTAAAAAGCTTAGAAGCACACAAAGGGAGAAGAAAAGATGTAGATGTAGTGGCTGATGAGATGAAAATGTCAGAATCTGGGAGCAACACTGGGGTGTTTTTTTGTAGCAATGGAATATCCTGCTTCTGAATGTAAAGAATGTGACAGTCATAAAGAAGAGCTTCCCAGGGACTCACAAGCATGTGCGCGCGTGCGCGCACACACACACACACACACATCCCAAAAGTAATTTGAGAACATGCAACCCTTTTAGAGAATCTGGAACTGCGATGTTCCCACAGCAATATAACTTCACAGTCCCAATCTCATGGATTTGCTCCACGGGTTTTATAAAAACCACTGCGTCTCTACAAGGCGACAAAATATGAAAAGGACTGGCAAAATGCAGTTACATTTAACTCGTTATTGAAATTTCCCCACTGCCAAAGATGACAGGCCTACAAAACTAATCATCATCTCTGGACAATCAAAGTTAATTGAATGAAATTCTCTTTGGTATTTTCCAAGGGACTAAGAAAACACAGACAAGGAAACTGGGCAATTAGAAAACACCATGTGGGGCATATTAGAAATTGTTTAAAGTATAAATGCATGGATGGAAAATGTTGAAATGGGAATTTCATAAATAATCCTCCACTATAAATTGGAACAAAATAAAACAATGTTAACAAGTTAATGTAACTTAAGGAACATCACAGACGCACTGGTCAAACGTCAAGTTCTCTCTCTAGCATATATAAAATTTTAAAAATTGGTAAAGCGTCAAGGAATACATTTACTTAGTTTGGGAAATGTTGTCACACTGTTCATTGAATTGGCTTATTCAGCTTATTTAGGGGGCTTGGTGAATTAAAGTGTCTCAGTCCTCAGAAGTAGGAGCTCAAAGATCAAATACAGTTCTATAACTGTGGGTGAATTACTTCACTTCTCTGAACTTCAATTTCCACATCTGTAAAATGGAAATATTAATGCCCCAAAGATTTACCTGGAAACATTGGTGTGGGGATCAAATGAGATATTTTATATAAAAAGCATCCTGTAAATCTTAAAATGCAAGATAAACAATATGTATAGTCATTTGTATTTTAAGACCAGATAGAACCATCATATAAGCATGTGAAATCACTGGGCTTTGTTTTGAAAAAGCAAAATGAACTAGGGTAGTAGATCTCCCTTCAAAAAGGGGGGAAATCATTGAGGGTAAAAACTGTTTCATTTTTGTCTTTATTGGCCTGAAAGCCTAGCATAATTTCTGACCCATGCATAGCAAATATCAAATTTGTTGAATAAATCGTGTAATCGTATGTATGCATATATATATATGAACATACACATGTATATGTATGTATATACAAATAATGTATGTGTATATATTACATATATACATATGTATACATATGTATATATGTGTGTATTGTGTATATGTATATTTTTTATAAATATACACACACATATTTATGTATATATAGCTAAGCTACAACACATAAGGTCTCTTAAAGCCCAAAGGTGATTTCTCCCTTGAATTATCCCCTCTCTTATTTCTCTGTGTTTATAGCCTTTGTTAGCAGTCTCTGAAAACTTTGCATTTTTACCAAGGAAACACCCATAAGCATATACCATTATCATAAAGATGTTTTTAGAGTACACACAGG